AAGCCGATCAGCCGACAAAGACTAGTTGACCTGCGGAGCCTACCATTTGTGGCTGCTCAGACGACTTATACAAATTACGATTAAACTATAACACGTAAAAAGCACTGTAGTGGGTCGCAAATCATCGAGATCACGAGGATAGAATTTCGTGTTATGCGACCTAACGATGTACGTGTACGATACCTCTGTAGTTAGGTTACTAAACACACAAAGTTTTTTAGATACCTGTTCCTTAGTAGCCTTCCCTTCCAAGTGACTGCGGAACTGTACATCTCTAGAAATGTCGTTGCCAAGGATCCCAAATGCTGGCTGAGATAGCAAGAGAAATGTCTCAAATTAAGGAGATACGACGAAGTGGTTTTTTTAGCGGCAAACACGCAAACCTGTGTCTTTTGGAGATTAAATGAACTAGATTTATTCGACCCCAGTCAAAGACTTTGTTTAATAAAAACTACTTCAGACATAAGTTCGTTCTGGAACTAGACGATTTGTTCGCGAGAAATATTATCACAGCCGGTGTATAAAACATCTCCAGTGCTATCGTATGCATGATAACGAATGTTACTAGTTTGCAACATGCCATTGATATGCAGAAGAAACAGAGTAGGCGATAACAACCTGTCCTATGTTGTTTAACACCAGCATTCACCGCCTTGGAGTCAAAGTATGCGCCGTCGTCTATGACCTTCATGCTTAAGTCTTTATATTGCATAAATTCTCGGGAAGCACTAAAGAGGGAAGCTTCTAAAAAGCGCTTTGTGCCAAACCCGGTCGAAAGCCTTCGCTAGTCCAAACTGACTACCAGGGTTTGTCCCTTGGTCTCGGTTTCCTCCGCCCATAGGTGTCAGGTGCACAAGAATATCGCCAGCTGAATGCCCTAGATGGAAACTGGTTACTACAGTTGATGATTCTCAGTTTACCTCTCAATAAAGGATGTAATGAGAATAGGTCTGTAGTTAGGTTAGTTAGATTGTTAGTTAGTTAAGGAACGACGGCTAAACTGAAAAAGACCCGTAACAATCGGTGCGAACTCTGGAGCACAGAGCCTTCTGCACAATTGGGGGATTCCATTCTGCCCAGTCGACTTTACATATCCGGCGCATTGAGCACTGTGTTGACTGATTATCCCGCTTCATCGAGAGTCGAGTTGGGCGCAAAAAGAGAACCTTAACGATTGGCTTTTTCTTTCCGGTGTAGGCCAGCGAGTCATCTTCTCTGTATAAAAATGGTAATGATGGCCTTGGGCAGCCTTGGCGAGAGATCATAATTCACGAGTTCCCGAAAATAGTTTCTCGCCGATTCACTCAATCTGCTCTGACCTTGCCCTAGTGTTAACTCTTTAGAAGGACTTGGTGGCAGAGCTGTACTTCTTTTTGAGTGCGCTAGTGTTTGCATCCAGAGACGCAGATGCGTCGACCCCAGGCCTAGTAACACCTGATTTTTCAGCGACAAAATTTTGCAGGAGCGACCAAACCAAGGTCTGCCTGCGGTAGGCACTACAGATGACGGGATGAAAAGCCATCCATGCTCTACATTGGTGACAGACTGCAAAGGTTTTGGGATCATCCAGCGAGAAGCAAATCTGACCCCATGGGTAGGGTGCAAAAAAAGCCTGCATTACAATTTGCTGATCTATAGCACCACACACGGCGGTTGCCTACACATCTTGCCTATAATGAGAATGTCAATGACATCATACTCCGGTTCAGTCAGTATTTAGTATATAGTTCGGGCTAGAATTTCGAAGAGCCAAGTGGAGCATCGACATAGACCTGGTAGCTATCCATATGAGGGTTGGGCGGGCGTAGAAATCGCTAAGGAGCACAACCTCTGCGAACGGGATCTGTTATAGCACGGATTCTGTAGCTATTTAGATGTGGTCGATGAGTCAATCTGTCAAGGCATTACCGCTGTTGAATTTAAAAAAGGAACCAATTGTCCAGTTGGCCAATGCTATCTATGAGTGACCACACGATAGACAGGTTCTTAGAGCTACTTTACAGAAAATTGAACTTAAAAAAATTCAACTTATAAAATTTATATTTTGGCTTTGATGTTACATAAACAAATATACGAGTACTCATAATTTCCTTTTCTTGTTCTTTCTTAATTTTCTGCGAAGTATATATTGATATGTGTTGTGTATTGGCGGCTATTATATTTTCTCCTGGGGTGCATTTATGACCTTAAAATGAACACATTATTATTTCAGTTCTCTTTAATTAATCCTCTCAAAGGGAAACTAAGCATTCCCTCTTCATGAAGTATGGCTATAACAAGAGAGGGAAACTAAAACAGGGGATGTGTAGCATTGTCTTACTTATAACAACTTAATAATTTAACAATGAAGCTTTTTTTTAATAGAAGAGGGGGCAAACGATTATGCGGCTCACCTGATGTTAAGTGACTACCGCCGCCCATGATCAACCGTAACACCGGGGGAATTGCAGGTGCGTTGCCGGTCCTTTAGAAAGGAGTAAGCTCTTTTCTTGAAGGTCCCCAGGTCGTATCGGTCCGGAAAAATCGCCGGTGGTAAACTATTCCACAGAGAGGTTGTACGCGGAAGAAAACTCCTTTTGAAACGTACAGTGGTGGACCGCCAAGCATCCAGATATTGTGGATGGTATCGGGACGTTTGCCGCGTAGTGCGTTCACGAAATTTGGCGGCTGGGATTAATCCGAACAATTCCTCAGAGCACTCTCCATGGTATATACGAAAGAAAATGCAAAGAGATGCAACATCTCTTCGCAGTGCCAGTGAATCGAGCCGATCGGAAAGCACTCGGTCGTCGACGATTCGAGCTGCTCTGCGCTGGATGCGGTCAAGTGGAAGGAGCTGGTACCATGTACGGCCGAACCTGCGCCTTGTAAAGTTGCAGGCAGTGTGCCGGCATGAAATACTGTCCCGCTCTGTTGAGCACACCAAGCTTTTTAGAGGCCAAATTGGCCTTCTCTTCCAAGTGACCACGAAACTGCACGTCACTCGATATGTCGACGCCGAGGATTCCGATACTGGCTGAGGAAACAAGGGGAGTGCCTTGAAACTGAGGATATACGACAAAGGGGTTCTTTTAAGCGGTTAACGCGCAAACTTGTGTCGTCTGGGGGTTAAACTGGACTAGATTTAGTCGCCCCCAATCCGAGACTTTGTTCAGCAAAGACTCGACTTCAGACACAAGTTTGTCCCGGCACTCGGAGACGTTTTCCCGAGAAACATTGGCTCGGCCGGTGTAAAGAGCATCACCAGTGCTGTCATTTGCATAGCAATGAATGTTACGGGTTTGCAACATATCATTGATATGCAGAAGAAACAGCGTTGGCGATAGCATGCAGTCTTGTGGAACACCAGCATTAATAGGCTTGCAATCGGAGCTTGCACCGTCTACAACGACCGTGATGCTCCGATCTGCAAGAAAGCTGGTGATCCAATCGCACAATTTCTCGGGAAGCCCATAGGAAGGGAGCTTCAAAAGAAGCGCATCGTGCCAAACCCTATCGAAGGCCTTCGCAATGTCCAAACTAACGGCCAATGCCTCCCCCTTGGACTCTACTGCCTTCGCCCATCTGTGAGTTAGGTAGACCAGAAGATCACCAGCCGACCGACCACGGCGAAAACCGTATTGGCGGTCACTAATCAGCTGGTGATCCTCAAGGTACCTCATGAGCTGGCAGTTTACAATGGACTCCATTGTTTTGGAGAACAAGGACGTGATGGCGATAGGCCGGTAGTTGGACGGGTCTGAGCTGTCGCCTTTTTAGGGATCGGGTGGACGAAAGCCGTCTTCCATGATTTTGGGACTACGCCTAGGGAGTAGGAGTACCGGAAAAGACGCATTAAAACCGGTGCCAACTCTGGAGCACACGTCCTCAGCACAATTGGGGGATTCCGTTAGGCCCACTCGACTTGTGGATGTCCAGGGAGAGGAGTGCTTTGCGAACCGAGCGCTGTGTGAACTGTACTTCCGACATGGAGCACTCACACCGCGGGATGGTCGGCGGCGTACTCCCCCTGTCATCGAGAGTAGAGTTGGACGCAAAGAAAGAGCCTAGAAGATCGGCTTTCTCCTTTGCGGTATGGGCCAGTGAGTCGTCCCCCCTGTGCCTCTGCACAGGGAGGAGATGGCTGACAAAAATTCCCCTGGACAGCCTTGGCGAGAGACCAGAATGCACGGGTTCCAGAAGGAAGGCGAACTAGTTTCTCGCCAATTCTGCCTATGTGCTCTGACTTTGCCTTGACAATGACTTTTGAAGGACCTAGAGGCGGAATTATACTTCTTTTTTTTAGAGCGCTGGTGTTTACATCCCGGGACGCTGGTGCGTCAGCCCAGGCTTGGTAGCACTCCTGCTTATAGTATGATGCTATTTTACAGGAGCGACCAAACCATGGCTGAGATTTGCCTCCAATGGGCACCACAGAGGAAGGAATAAAAAGTTCCATACCCTGAAGCGACACATCAGCGACAGAATCCGCAACAACGTTGGGATCGTCCGGCGAGAAGCAAACCCGCCCCCAAGGGTAGCAAAGAAAGACCGCATCCCATCCCAATCGGCTGACCTATAGTGCCAAACACGGCGGCAGCCTGCAGAATGTAACTGCGGTTTCAGCGTGAGTGGCACCACACTCCGGACAAGACAATGGTCCGAGGAGCCTAAAGGGGCGTCGACGGAAATCTGATATCCGTTCGGGTGAGTGGTCAGCAGAAGGTCTAACAGGGAAGGTGCATGATCCTCCACATCTGGAATTCACGTAGGCGAAGTAACCAGTTGTGTCAGACCATATGCCAAGGAAAAATCATGAACAGATCTCCCCGCATGATCGGTTAAACGTGAACCAAGCCATTTGGCGTGATGGGCGTTAAAGTCGCCGAGGTACGCTGGTGAAGGCGGAAACCATGGCAATATACATCCCCTATAAGGACAGTCTATGGCGGAGACCTATATATATAGCAGTGGACTTTTGGTTAATAGTGATGATGATGGTATGGTTATTTTTCTTGCAGGTACATTTTGCTGCCATCAATTGCTGGGATCCTGGAAGTGAATGTAGATTACAACACAACAAAATTCCATCTTGGCCTATTCTAATGGCTTATACTGTTAATTCAAAAGGAGTGCTTTATAAAGGTAGATGTGGTTTATTACAGCGTATCCAAGAGACATTATTATTAAATACGTTAACAATATTTATTAAACGAAACGAAATTTAATTTGATGACTTACTACGAATATTAATTTGATATTGATATTTTGTTTTAGGCCCTAGAGATGCACACAGTATGGTTAACTTTTTGGAGTTAATTATGAAACCTTTGGAAAGAGTATCTTCAACTGAAGACTTAGTACATTTATTGTCTATTTATGATGTAAGTATTTAATAATCATACTGACATATATGTTCAGAAATACAATTTTTTTTTAATTTTTTTTTAATTGATTTTATTCTAGGCTGTAGCTATTGGTTTCACACCTCTTACAGACACATCAAAATATTATAATATATGGTACAATGTTGCCTTAAAGTCACGGGAATTTGACACAGTTGGGGAAATATGTTTTGCTGTTGTTACATCAGCAGAGTTGGCAATGGATCTTGGTGTGGAAATTTTGCCCAAGGCTCGTCTTATGCTTTGGAATGACACTAAGGTAAATGGTTTAAAATAACATCTTTCGACCTAATATATATATATATATATATATATATATATATATATATATATATATATATATATATATATATATATATATATAATAATTATTTTAAGCCTATGAGTATATGAGCCTCGTTAACTTAGAGGATAGTGCTGGCTATAATATTTCATATTTTTTTATAGAATAAGTGTGACAAACGAGCACATAGTCCACCTGATAGTAAGGGGATGTTGTGGCCAATAGACATCTATGTGTATCCTCAATCAAGAATCAAAATGCAGATGCGTTGTCACCCATTAGCACTGAGAGTGAATGCCTTGTTTTCAGTTAAAAGGGTCTCCAGTTTTCTACACTCATTATACGAAACAACAGCATTAAGCTGCCATTTTACGCTGGTATTTTGTGGGAGCGTGGCCCTACCTCGATCGAACCAACGCATTTGTGCTCAACTATAATATAGCCTCAGCATGCTCTACCACGTTGCAGTTTCATCCTCGCCAGTATCAATGAAGTTGTTAATTTCAATTTAACATGTTCAATGGTGAAGGCAAACAGCAAGATGCACGTCTGAGATATTAAAAAAAATCGAAGACGAGAAGTCCGCCAACACTAATTGGTGCAGGGAGGTCCTTAAATTCTTTCAGAAGTGCGGTGAGGCCTGTTGCCCAGATGTGGGATAAAACACTTTATGTGAAAAATTAATATGTATTTAACTTTGAATGTTAAAATATCAATTACATTTTTCCATATTTTCTTTTTATAATGGGCTCATACCATCGAAGGTATCATTTTATAAAATTGTATTTACCCTAAAATAAATATTTTTCTGTCTCTGTAGGAATTTAAAACAGAAGATGGCAATAATTCTTGGAATGAATCATCACTTATGCATTGGGTATTGGAGAATTTTTCTCAGCCTGTGGCAAGGATTATACCAATGTGGAAGAAATCATTTAGCTTTGATAGATATGCTGATGGCAGCCCAATGTTGTTGCTTTTTACTCCTTTAAACCCCTTATATGAGCAGTTGCCTTCATATTCATTGGTAAGTGTCGCATGTTGACTTAGCAACTGGCAAAACTATGGTCAATATATTTGGTTTATAAATAATAAGCTTAAGACGTCAAGCTAAGAAAAAAAAATTTCTTTTATAGCTACGTGAAGTTGCTATGGAATATTATAATTGTAAAAATAATGACAGCAACCAATGGATTACGGAGTTGATAAAATTACAACAGGTACAGAGATTAATCTATCAACAGAAAAACTTTTTGAAGTTTTGTCAAGAGTATAAGTTCAAAAATCCTATAAGAAAACCAAGCAAAATTTATAAAAAAGAAATTGTGTCAAATAATAATAAATATCCTTGGAATAATGTGACGCAGAAAAATCAGAAAAACGGGTTTATTAATTTTATACTGAAAAAGGGTCTAGCACTGACCAAAGCTATGGAGAGTGGAAGTGATAATTCACCTATTTGGTCTTCTTTGGGTATTTTGAATGAATGCACTACAAAGTTTTTACCTGCGGAGAAAAGTTTCTATGAAAACTATGAACAATGCCAGTTGTTTGAAGAAAATATGGACAAAGAACAAGATTTGGACACAAAACAGGAAAAGTAAGTTAATTTTTGGCATCACAGATGCCGATGTTTTACGAAATTGTTGAGAATATGTATATTAAGACGATGTCTGAGCGGCGTTTAATCCATACAAACATATTCCTCTTTTTTCTCCCTTGATAAATGACACTGAAATTACTTTTTGATGATGTCTATGTATATCTACCACTACCATGATCCTATGTTTTTTTGCATAAATAAATTATTTTTTAATAATGACTTTATCACACGGGAGATTTACAAGCGAGTTCAAAGTGAGGCATGCGCAGCGAGCTCCCTGCGAGTTTGCACCGAGCGCGCGGTGAGCCCGTTGAGAAGATACCGCGCCACATAAGTAATAGATGGCGCGAATAGCGTCGTCGACGCCATTTTGTAAGCTCCCGTTCAACTGCCCGCCCCACCCCACTTCAGTGATATCAAAGGGACGAGTGTAAGCAGTGTTTCCTCGTCAGAATTCATTCTGCTACTCTATATACATTACATCAACGACGTTTTAACCTCTAGTTAATTCTAGGTCCGCTCGCACTCGCCTCGCTTTAAACTCGCAAATCGCCAGTGTGATAAGGCCCTAACTGCCAAGTTATATATTAAACAAATTAAACGAACATAAAAGAGAATGAGTCAAATAGAGACATGGCACAAACCTTATGTTGTTCTTGAAAAAAACATATAATTAGTCCAGTTTTGGAGGAGGAGACATTGAAATACAGAATGGTGATGATTTCCTGAATTATATTATACCAAATCTAAGAAATACTATTAGACAGCTGTCACATTTATGGGGCTAGGCATTCCAACTGAAAAATACCAGATAACGATATCGATTCCTTAGAGTTGGTAATCATTTACCAACTCTAAGGAATCGATATCGTAATCTAGATTAATAACAGAATAAATTAAGAACAGATAACGCAAAGCATAAAATTTATCACTTATTTAATTTTTATTGCTTACTGTTAATTTCTAGAGATAAAGTTAAATAAATTAAAGCCAGCACTAGATTAAAAACTAATTTATTTAATCACTAACTACAATTAGTTGAGTTGTCGTCGGGGGGCGCGGGGACGTCGCGGCGGGCGCGGACCCGGCCGCGGCCTCTCTGCCACACGAATCGGCCTCTTCCTCCACCACCGGAGAGGAGCTATTCGGATACACTAGATAGGAACGTGATAATGAACCTCTTCCTCCTTCTGAAACATCCCGGTCTTCCCCTTCCCTATCCGGCTCCCCCGATCGTGGTCTTATCTGGTCGACATGCCTATGAATAAAGACTTTATCAACCCCTAGAATATTATAGTCCGTTTCTCCTAGTCTGGAGTGTACTTCTCCTTTTAACCATTTTACAACCGAGTTACGATAATCGCGGTACCACACGCGGTCCCCCGGCGCGAACTGCCGGCGACTGCCGCCCGCGGCGCGCGCCTGCCGCGCCTGCTCGCGCCGCACGCGGGGCCCCAGCTCCGGCTTCAGACAGTCGAGGCGTGTGCGCAGTGAACGACCTTGTAATAATTTCGCGGGGCTCACACCGGTAGTACAGTGTTCGGTGTTACGATATACGGGTAGAAACCTATTAAGTACCTGTACCAGTGCCTTCTTTATAACCCGCTTGCCAATTCTAACCGCATTCTCAGCTGCGCTATTCGAAGCCGGGTGATAGGGTGCTGAAAATATGTGTTCTATACCGTTATCCTTAAGAAATAACTGAAATTCCTGACTAGTAAATTGCGGACCGTTGTCACTCACTATCTGTCTTGGCAGACCGAATCTAGCCCACATTTCCCTTAATTTGGTTATTAAATTTTTTGCCGAAATGGAACTCATAGCAGTGACTTCGACCCATTTAGAACGAGCGTCCACGGTGACTAAGTAAGTAGCGCCCCCTATCCGCCCTAAAAAATCGAGATGCAGTCGCGACTACGGGCGCTCTGGCGCGTCCGCCACGCGCGCGCACACTGAGCAGGCGCGGCACATAGCCTCCACCGCCTCGTCAATTCCCGGCCACCACACGTAGCTGCGAGCGAACTGTTTCGTCTTAGTGATCCCCATGTGAGCCTCATGTAACTCCGCGAGAACTTTCTCCCTGCAACTAGAAGGTATCACTACTCTGTGACCCCACGTGACGCACCCCAGTTCCTCGTATAACTCTTTCTTTCTGTGAAAGTATGGTTTGATATCTTTTATTTCGATATCTTGCGGCCAGCCGTCCCGTATATAACCGAGGACCCGCCAGAGTATCGCGTCCCTTGCGGTTTCCCGCTTTAAACTATTATTGTCTATTAATAAGGCCTCTGACGCGAAATGTAAATACGTTTGTTCCGGAAATTCTCGATTTTCCTCCGACCTACTCTCTTTATGGGTAGAAATCATTCGCGACATCCGCCACATTATCATTAGTTGAGACGTATTCGATATCGAAATCGTAAGCTGTTAATATTAAAGCCCATCTCTGTAATCTACTGGCCGTCATGCTAGGAATACCTTGGTGTGGACCGAATATTGTGACTAACGGTTTATGATCCGTCCGCAATGTAAACCGTCGCCCGTAAATATACTGGTGAAACTTTTTCACAGCAAATACAATAGCTAACGCCTCTTTTTGTATCTGACTGTAGTTGCATTCCGCGGCGGTGAGCGCGCGCGACACGCACATGACGGGGCGCTCGCGGCCGGCCGCGTCGCGCTGCGCCAGCACGGCGCCGAGCCCGCGCGCGCTGGCATCACACGTCACCACTAGCGGCGCGCCCGGCTCGTAGTGGCTCAGCGCGACCGCGTCACTCAAACGTCTCTTAACTACAGTGAAAGCCTGCTGTTCTAATCTACCCCATTTCCATGTCGAGTCTTTTTTTAGTAGTACGTAAAGTGGCTGTAAAATGGTACTCAAATTGGTCACGAAACGGCTATAAAAATTGACCATTCCTAAAAATGACCGAAGTTCCGAAATATCTTTGGGTGGTGACATCAACAGAATCGATTCTATCTTGTCAGGATCGGGGTGGATTCCCTCTTTATTCATTACATAACCCAAATATTTCACTTTTTCTACAAAAAATTCACATTTTTCCCTTTTTAATTTAAGACCGTACTCTTTCAATTTATCTAGCACTTTACGTAAAGTATGTATATGGTTTTCGATAGTATCCGAAGCGATCAAAACGTCATCCAAAAATACTACAACCCCCCTTGATATATTTTAACAAGTTAACCATTCTTCTTTGAAAAATTCCCGGACTGGATGCTAAGCCGAAAACAAGACTGTTGTACATAAACAAACCACGATGTGTGTTAATTACTGTGTACTTTTTGGTATCGTCAAGCTCGATCTGATTGTATGCCTGTGATAAGTCTATTTTGCTGAAAAATTTACTTCCCCCTAATTGCGACAATAAGTCGTCAATTTTAGGCACTGGGTACTTGTCGACATATAAGACACGATTGAGGGTTACCTTGTAATCCGCGCATATTCGAATAGCTCCATCCGATTTATTGACAATAACGAGAGGAGTCGCCCAGTCCGTGCACTCGTGACCCGCGCAGCATGGCGTCCAGCTCGGCGTCCACGCGCTCCCGCAGCGTGTAGGGTAGCGGCTGCGCGCGGCAGAACACCGGGGCCGCGTCCGCGCGCACCGCCAGCCGAGCCCGCCCGCCCGTGAAGCGCCCCAGACCGCCGTCGAAAAAGTCAGCATAGCTGAAAAACAATTCATTTACGGCATGAGATACATTCTTGGCTGATTCGTTTAACATGTTTACATTAAATTTTGGTACGCTGATATCAAGTTCTAACAACCACTGTCTGCCTAATAAAGTAGTAGTACCGTTATTGATAACATATACTAAGTCTAAAACTTTGCTAGACCGCCCATATGTCACATTAACCTCGCAGTAACCTAGTGGCTTTATTTTTGTTCCATCATAAAAGGTTAGTGCTAAATCACATGGTAATAATGGTAAATGATTAAATGTATCTTCATACGTGGTTTTACTAATACACGACAACGCCGAGCCAGTGTCTATTTCCATGTTTAAGTTATGTCCACTCACTAATAAACACAAACTCACCGGCTTGTACTGTGACAGCGACATTTGCATCACCGGTTCTTCCTCGGGTGCCTCGTGGTACTCACTCAATGCAGCCCCATCGTCTGCATTGACATAATTTGTTTTCGGTCTCTGATTATGTCCTCCGCGACCGCTGTTCCGGCTTTTCTTTCCAAAGCCCTGTACATTCGCCGCGTTTCCGTTGTAGGCGCCCGACGCCACCGACTGGTTATTTGTGAAATACACGCGTCGTAGGTGGCCCATCACGCCACACTTGCTGCATATGTAGGTTCTGAACTTGCACTCGCTGGCAACATGGTCAACACCTCCGCAAGCTCCGCATAGCGAACCGCGCACATCCACAGACGCCGCCGCCGCCGCCTCCCGCCATTGCACTGTGCCGGGTATGGCGGGCTCGCTGGCCGACGCGCATGGCGTTCAGCCCCCCGTTTGCCCCGCCGCCGCCCTCGCCGCACAGTTGACCCGCGGCCTGCGATGACGTCACCGCTGCGCCCGACTCCACGAGCGCCGCGTCCCGCTTCGCTGCCTCCAGCGATCCTGCTAATATCACTGCCTTGTCATAGGACAATAATTTTTCTTCCGCGAATAATCTCTGCCGTATGACGTCACTTCGAAGTCCGGACACCAACTGATCTCGTAAATTGTCCTGTAGGACTGCACCGAATTCACAATGTCTAGATAGTTTTTTTAATGCCGCCACGTAATCACTGATCGACTCACTGTCTGTTTGTCTTCTTTGCCTAAAACGATAACGTTCCGCCATCGGAGATGGTTTCGGTTGCAAATGATTACGTAATAGTACAACTGCATCCAAATACGTATGTTCCGCGGGTTTCTTAGGACTCGCGAGGGTGGATAACAGTTCATACGCACTTTCACCCATAGCCGCGATCAAGATAGGCAATTTAATTTCGTCCTTCACTGAATTTGCCACAAAATACATTTCTAGCCGCTCCACGTAAGCAGTCCAGTTACCGGTTTTCACGTCAAACTCACTAATCTTTCCGACCGACATTTTGCACGCTGATTGTTCGCAGTCTAAATTTTCCGTATTTTCTATTTTCACGTATTTTTCGCCGATTTTCACCATTAAAATCCTCGTCGCCAGTGAGACAAAGGAAAACACGTCCGTACAGTTCAACCATTTATTGCAAGAGAGAGAGATCACAAAATACCTTCCTTATACTAACAATAAGCTTACCCTACATTACAGTTACTTTAAATTGTGTGAGTACAAATTTATTCTGG